TCGGAATTCAGCGAACTTGGGCTCGTTGTATTGGTATCGTTGAGCCGCTCGATTCGACTATAAGCACATAATGTTTAAAAACCATTTGGTAATCCAAAATGTGGTTTGAACCCTCCAACAGCTCTTCAGATCATTGATTTAGACCCATTTGGGCTCGGATTGTAGCAAATGCATGGCATAGAAAGAGAGAGAGAGAAAGAGAGAGAGAAATCCACAAATGTATTGTCAAACTGAATGTCATTAATAGCAAATGCATGGACACCAAAAGTTATTTGATCAACATCCAAATGAGTCCATATCATATACTTAAATATTGTTGAAATGTTTCAAAATCCTAATTAGCGGATCAAATAAGATCACTTGATTTGAGCATTATTGAGGCATATAAATGAAGAAAGATTTATTTATAATTAAGTGAATCAATACAGGTCGTTCAGCAGAGTTTTTTTTTTTGCTATATTTATGTGGCTATTATAACACCTAATACATGTTAAATAAATGAAAATGTCTATTTAATTAAAGTGTGATATTCAACTTATAAGTGAGATGAGAATATTAAAATTTATTAACTAAGATTAGTTTCAATTTAAATAGCTAATGACTTCAACCATTTAATTATGAACATATTTTATAAGTTATGCATTTCAATATTTTTGTTTATAAAGAATCTAAGAGGGGTGAGCATAACCAACCAAAGCGTGGACAATGAAATCTTAAGATTTTAGGACTTATAACTAATAGAATTTTATATTCAATGAATAAGGAGATGAGGAAACTCATCCTCAAAAACTATATATATCCCAGATATACGGTGTATAATATGTTAAATGTGCTAGTGGTGGGAGGGAAACTTACATCTTGATTATATAACTTAAATTTAAAGGAGCAAGGGTTAAAGACAAAGAGATTTGGAGTCACCCATCCTAGGTTGTTGAATCTTTTGTTTAGGGGAATTATAAATTTTATTAAAAGATGATGTGAATATACGCATTCCATCTTATGGTGAATCATGCAATTTTAATTTCTTAGATCAAAATAATGTAGAAACTCGATTATAAGATGGAATGTCACAGCATAATTGTCACACCGCATTTTGACCCCTCATATAGTCAATCTTGAGTGTAATAGAGAAGAAAAATCTAAGCAGACTCCTTACTAACACTCATTCTGAACTACTTCTATTAGAATCAAATTAGTAAAAAGTAATTTATTCAAACTCTCCTAACATATTAAGCTTTATACTTTACAACAGGAATCATGCCATATATCTTAATTAAATCTCAAATATAATGCATATCTCAAACGAAATACAGAGTTTTACTAAAATATTTTAAAATTTATTTACATACCTCAAAAGTATTTATATATAGCCTCCACTTAGACCTCTATATACACCCAAAATATATCTAAATAAAAAAATAGTCATCCCTTTCCGCCTAGTGCCCTACTAGTTCCTTCTCTTTCATGTAGTACAACTACTGTTAATAAGTAAGGACTCAATGAAATACGTAAGTAATGTATAAGAAATATTAATAATATTTGTTTTGATAATTAATTTAAAACACTTTGAAACTACATGCTGATCATAAGAAATACAAGACATCATTTTCTATCTTGATTATTTTTCAATACCTTTATATAAATCACATGATGACTATATACATTTGCATCCATCTTTTAGATTTTCAATTAAATGTTGGATCTAACTTTTAATTTTTAGAATTGAAGTTACTCTCTCATTTAAGATTAAGTCTAAATTCTCAATATTTAGAATTTAAAGAGTGTAATGTTACCTTGTCAAGTCTTTCTCCTTTACCTGTGTGAGACTATCCCCCATATATGACTTATTTCACTTTTCTTCTATCTTCCGTTTTCATAATCATATAGTATTAATGTAATTAAAATTACTTAGTGATTCAACAATTTACATACATGAATAAAGTGAAAAAAATTGAAATAAATTCTATCATAAATATAATAAATATGAATTTACAGCTGCATAAAATTTTATTATTTTTCATACATGTTTGGGTATCTCACATTGCTAGGAATGTGTTCTCATAGAATACCTTGTGTTATTTTCCTTCTATAAGTAACATAAATGATACCATCATAAATTATACTCTTGATAATTAAAGTCAGAGTTAGAATTGGTATCGATAATATACATGAGCCTTTCATCGATGCTATTTTTGATGGCGGTGATAAAGTTAGTGGTACTAGTGTAATAAGAAAATTATAATTAGGCGATGGTAGTTGAAGGATCATTTTTGGGTGATAATGATCAAAGGGCCATATTTGAGTGATAGTAATCGATATACCTTAGTTAGGTGATGATGGTTATAGGACAGTAAGAGGGCATTGATGGTCAAGGACAATAGTCGGAAGATGATGGTTAAAGGACCAAAATCAATGATGGTGATCAGAAGAGTATAGTTAAGTGATAGTGATAAAAGAGACATGACTGAGCAATTAAAATGAATTAGATGGCCACAATCAAGTGATGGTGGCTATAGAACCATGATCCGATGATAATGGTTAAAAGATCCTACATAGTTGGGTAATAATTGTTAGAGTATAGTAGCAGGATAATAGTGATCGAGCGATGCTAGCCAGAGGATTATACATAAGAAATAATGGTTAGATTACCATACTTGAATGATGCTAGTTGGATCAAGAACCATAGACAAAAAATGGTGGTTCATGGTGATGGTTCAATCACAATGATTTGGTAATGGTCTGATGGTGGCGACAAGTGATGATGCTTGGATAAAGTTTTGAGATTTGTCAAGCCTCTAACCTATATTAAGTCTTTATATAAGGTCCTTAAATATAATAATCTCAAATTAATTCATTCTAATTTTATGAAAATTTGATTAGCTGAGTGTCAAAGTACTGGGTTGATAGCACCGTGGCATTAAGCTCTCCATTTTTTTTATTTTTTTTTTTTAAATTGAGGGAGCGCGGAGGTGCTGAGTCTCGAGTGTTGTGGCATTGGGTCATAAAAAATCATTTTCATATATAAAATTTTATTTTCCAATTGTTTAAACCATCTCACCTCCTCTGTTATCATTTCCTAAGTTGCTGAGAGGGAAAAAGAAAGGGAGAGAAAAGAAGAAAGATAAGGGAAGTATGAGGAAAGAGAAAGCAGGTTCGAGCTGATATTCTCTCTCTCTCTCTCTCTCTCTCTCTCTCTCTCTCTCTTTCTCTCTCTCTCTCTCTCCAGTTGGGATAAAAGCTCCGATCATGATAGGTAACCCTAATCCTAACTCTGTTTTTAATTATTTCATGTTTTGCCTATCTTCCTTCCTCCCAAAATTGATAAAAATACAATATCTCACATTTAATAATTTTTCATCATTAACTTTTGATATGTAGTGGACATTATTATCCTAAACATTTTGACTAGTTTATATTAAAATTTTACCTAATGATTTTATTTATATATTATTTTAACTAAAATAAGTAGTATAATGCTGAATAAAAAATGATCAAGAGAATGTATATATAACATTTGAACATAAAATACATGATATGTATTCATTTACTATTTATTTTATTAAACATGCATTTTTGATATATTACATGCATACAAATGAGTATAATTATAATTGTATTTGATGTATATGATGTTAGTTATTATTATTTATATAATATAAAATGTCTGTAAAAGTAAGAAAGATTAGCTAAAAATGATCGTTTGAGTCAAGTTACTTAAAGACATATTATTCTATATAGGAGGGTAGGAAAATAGCCTTTCTTTCTTTTTTTTTTTTTATTCTTTTATATTGAGGAGTAGAGAGATATAAACTAATATATAGTGATTAATCTTCTGTATATTGCATATGAATTTTTGGTGAATTAAAATAAAATTTTATTATGTATATGATTTATAGTTGTTTCCAATGGTTCCTATTTATTGAAATTAGATAAGTAGTTCTAGAAGATTAATTAAGAGTTTATATTAAATTATTCTTCCAAAATTTAATCTTAAATCGTCACATTAATTTACTGAATGATGATATATTTATAGATTTTTAATCGTGACATGCTCCATAAATATAACTGAAGTTTGAAGCACTCAATCAAATACCCCATATTGAATCATTCAATCATAGACCATTTTTTTCAACATTAAGTGCCTTAATTACATCAAAATTATACAGGTTTGGACATGTTAGATTGTTTCGTTGATATACTCAATTTAATTATAAGCATTTGATGTTTGGAGATCATTTGATCTTTCAATTATTTCCCCAAAGTTTTATATTAGCTTCAAGTGCTTGATCTGGACTCATTAGAACTCAGATTGGACCACTTCAGTGTTATTTTATTCATATATTTCAAATGTTAAATTCGACAATAAGTTTGTTAAAATCAAGTTTAGGGTTTACTAAATTTGAATTTGAAAGTTTTCAATTTAATTATGCAAAAAATATTTGTGCTGGAGTAAATTGATTTTTAAATATACACCACATATATTCTACTATTAATATCTTTTAAAATTTTATTTAAAATTTATGATAAATAATAATAAATATTTAAGGGTGTAAGTATCTTTTTCATTAAATATAATTCTCTATCATTCTTAAATTATGAATAAGTCAAAGGCAAAATTTGAATTCCAAACAGAATTCACTCTGCTCCGATATATCCTCTCTCCCATACGAGAGAACGTCGCATATTAATCAGTCATTCAAATCCACGAGAGAGAAAGCGAGAGGCAATGGAATAGTGGGGAGAGAGAAAATCGCAAACTCGCATGCGAACGAAACCCGACGGCTTACCATGCGGACGTCTGCTCTCTGCCTACTTAAAAGATTTTGACGCGCGTAGTTTCACAACTGTTCATCGCCCCCAAAATTCCCAGAGCTTTTCTTCTCCACCTCTTACCGTCGTCGCTCCATCATTCTGCTCCCGCGCGCCAACCACATTCTCTACATTCTGCTCTGTTTCTCCTCCGCTGATCCGCCATTTCTGTCACCTCTATCTTCCCATCAATGGCAATCTCCGCTGAGAAGGTTCCTCCGTCGCCAAGAGAACCCCTCGCACCTCCGGTTTCACCAGAACCACGGTTGCGGCGTCGAGTTTCGTTCCGATCTAATCTCCATGACTTCGATTCCCCGTTTCTCACGACCTGGGGAAAGCAGCGGGTCCTCCGCTGCCTGAACGTTAATCGCAAGGGCGAGATTATCGCCGGCCACCGCCAATCGGACCTAATTGGGCCGTCTGCTAACTTACGACAGGATGACAATCACGTCACCATTAAAAATGACGACGGTTCCGAGGGAGGCAAGGCCAATCTCCTCCCCCGACTCCGCGAGGCTGCCGCTCCTAATTGCAGGATATACGAGCCCGAACCTGATCACCAACCAGAAGTCCCACGAGCACCTTTTTCCTGCGCTCCTGCGGCTCCAATGCCGGTCCAAACACCTTCTTCAAATTCGCCTTCCGATGTGAACCAAACGTATAATATGAGAAGCAGGAGAGTGCCGATCCGCAAAAAGCGGTGCTCCAGTCCATCTCCACCGCCACCTGTGGTAGAGAAGAGCGTGCAAAGAAGGAGCGTTCGACTCCGGGCTGAAAAACCAGAGAAGCGTGATTCTTGGCCAAAGTTCTCAATTTCCCTCTCCCGTAAAGAGATCGAAGAGGACTTCATCGCAATAACAGGATCCCGCCCTAGCCGGCGGCCTACCAAGCGGCCAAAACACATTCAACGGCAGCTAGATGTGAGTTCATGGCGTTAGCCTTATTACACATTAACCCTTTTTTCTCATTTCTTTCCCCACGCTAAACTGTTTCTCCAAATTCTTTGCTTCAGCAACTCTTCCCCGGCTTGTTGCTTCCGTCCATCTCACCGGCAGACTACCACGTCCCTGATTAATCTATCTGCGTTGAACATTCAATCTCCTCTCAGTACTGCACAGGTGCAAACCCAATTATTCTTTCGGAAAAAGAAATCATCAATGTGTTCACTGTTGGAAAGCTAATTTGACAAATAAAATTTATATTGACGTTCTTTAGGAAATAATTGAAAACTCTTCTGAAATTTTCGAAGTTGTGAAATATTGACATGCACACGTTCTCGTTGTTGGTAACTGCCGTCGGCATTCCCAGGATTCTTCCTCATCGGGCCGTGATGGGTAACCCGTATTCCATGGGCCGTTTTCCATTGCTCGAGTTACCCATACCACGTGGCTTGACCCAAAGCCTACCTGTTTCGTAAATCGGTCGAAGAAGTTCTCAATAATGGGTTTTCTGTTATAAAAGTTCTTAACTTTCTAATGAAAAAATAAAATATTAATCGAACGATGATTAGTGCTCTCTGGGAGTTAGTTATAGTTTATTTTGGCATCGCTCGAAGAAAATGTCACTGGGTTGGGAATCTGGGTTGGGTTGGTTTTCTAAAAGTAATTTAACTTCTTGATTTTTATGTTGATTAGAGAAATTATTCTATGCGGAGACCGGACGTAGAATGTTGTTCGAAGACCAAACAGAATGCATCACATCAGTTTTACTCAACCGCGATATCGAGTTGTACCTAGCAGTACTGAGCAGCGGTATCGAAGAAAGGGGTGACGTGGCACATTCTGATTAGTCTCCGAACAGCGTTCTACGTCCACACAAAATAATTAATCTATTATAAGGGGAACAAATTAAAGATCCGTAATATAAGCTTCATGTTTCTATAAAAAAAATGATATCGCTTAGAGAGATATTTAACATATTTTAATTATTTTGAAATAATGATAATTATTAAAAGATGAATTTTTTAAAAAATTTTATAATTATAAAATCTATCTTTATATTTAATACTTTAAATGATAAAATAAAACGAAAAGTGATAATATTTTATTTTAAAAATTATTAATGATAATAATCTTATATATAATTATTATTATTCATAATCTTGTTTTAAAAAATTCTATTATTTTTTTTTATAAAAAAGGAACAATGAATCACAAATGAGCTATTTGGTAGCCAGAAAAAAAGAGATGTGAAGTACTGAATATTGATCTTTGGTTTGAAGCATATAAATAAGTTGTAAGATTTTGGTGAATAAATTTACATTCTAGTTTATTTTTTGATGTATTTAGAATTCTTCATATTTGAGCGAGTTTAAAATATTCCAAAAATTCATTGTAATTGCAACAGCCCAATGGCCCATGCCGCCACCAGCCACTACCGCCCGCCGTCGCCTTTGGTCACCAAAATAATCTCAAACATTTCTTTAACATTCATCCAAATAACTCTCAAATATTCATTTTACATTACATTTTTTTTTCGATGACAAAAGCACCTCATGGAAGAATGAAGGAGAAATAAGAAATATGGTTTGGTTCGGTTTAGATATTTATCTATTTCCCAATGATTAGCTGCAAAAATAATCCATCACTTAGAACCGGTGGCCCGAGAATTAGATAGATAGCAAATCATAAACTACTAGAAATTTCACGCCTCCAGATCGCCAATTTCTAACAACAAAATGACCTTTTTTATGTAGTAATAGAAATTATAAAATGCTAAATCTTTTTTTTTTTATTGATTTCATACTAATACAAATATTTCTATAGAAAGGCAAGTTAAGAAAGGAATAATGGAAATATAATAAAATAGATTGTCCTCGATAATGAGGGTGTATTACATAAATCTATACTTTTTTTTAACAACCAAATATATTAATAAAGATCAAAAATAGTTACAACAGCAAATGCTCAAATCAAAAGAAAAGCATAAAAAGAAATTACAATCAAAAGCGGGCTCAGTAATTAACGGCCGAGGCTCCCAGCATCCCAGAAGCGTCGCGGGACCATCCAAAAGGAGACAGCATCGCCCAAAAACCACCAACTCAAAGAACTGCACCAATGGTTGCCACCAGCGAGGCAAAAGGGATACGAGCCCTAGCCACATCATAGCCCTATAAACCATCTCATCACCAAACGCAAAAACCAACCACACAAAACAACTGGACCAGACAGCAAACAGACAGCTTATCTTCTCCTTCGTCCCATCCCATGAAATCTTCCACGAGGGGCGACCGAAACTACAGGCCTATCACGAACTAAATTAAAGTCGTTGCCAGGGTCAGATCCACCGCAAATGTCCGGGGAAACCAAGCCACAATCCGAGAAATCAGATTCCGATTCAAACTCTGACGAACCATTCAGCCAATCCATATGGTTCCTCATGTCAAGCCAAGAATTTTCCCCCAGATGATTGACCAAAGTATGCGTATCGATCAAATTTACAGGGACATCAACGAAATTGTTAGAAAGTACCGGAGAATCCCTCAAGTTTTCCACACAAACAGCATTATTTTCCACCTACACATACTCGGCACTAGGCGAAGAAATAACAGCCTCAGCCACAACAGGAACTAAAACACTAATTGGATCAATCGAAACACCAGGCTGCAAAGCCTCATTACTCAGCAAAGAAGTCGCAACCAGAGGAGCCACCAAACACACAGAATCCTCACACAGAATCACAGTAGGTTTCACAGCAGCAAGTTCTTCCGAAAGAGAAGAAATATTCAAAGGGTTACCTGGCAAACACTCAGTACTAGCATTCACCAAAACAGGGGGAAAAAGGGTAATGCATTAGGAGATAAAGCATTAGTAACAAGTTCAGAATTAACACCGCCAACGTCTGGCACGCCAATTTCCTCCCTAGGTAAAGCAGAAACCACCAAAGCAGACAATCAAATCATCCTGAGCTCCAGAAACCGATTCCACAATAACAGGGGGAACAATTTTAGCATTAGGTTCTACAGTTTTAGGTAAAACAGGCGATTCCAAAGAACCAGTTTTAGGTCGGCAATCACCCACAGCATGACCGAAACAACGACAAGAACCTCAAAAAGAAGGAAAAACATCCACACGACATGCTGGACATATCCAAGTTTTTTGGAACCTAACCAAATACGATCATGATAGGATTTAGTGATATCAAGCTCAACTAACACCCTAGCTAAAGACGGTCTAGAACCCAAAGACGTGGCCGTATCAATTTTTAGAGGCTTGCAAAAAATGGATGCCAAGCCATGAAGAATTTTAGGTGAAAACAGATGCGGCCGCAAAGAGGGGAAAGAAACCCATATAGGGATCTCCGGTGATTCAACCCCGATATCAACAAAAGGCGACCATTTCGTTAGTTTCATAAAGCAATTAAAGACCAAATAAGTTCTATGACAGAAAATGCGACAATACTCAAGATCATTATACAATTTGATCAAAACATGGGATGAATCCAGCAAAGTAACCGAGACATCGCCATTTAGCTTGAGATTAAAAAAGAATTTACGAATAGAATCAAGAGACGGTCGCTTAGTAGGAAAAAAACCAACTAGAGCAAATTGAAAAGGCACAGCCAAAGCCTTGATTTCTTCATCCGAAATCCACAGTGAAGGCATACCGCGGAAAGAAGACACCTTAAGTTTAGGAAACTCATTACAAGCAGAAGATCCCGAAAGAGCTTGAAGAAAAGAGCGAGAAGAACTCGAAACCCCTAAAAAACCAGGGTCAACAAGTTTCGGGGTCATCCGGCACACGCCGAAAAGAAAACCACCAACAAAATCTCAGAAACAAGAACAAAAACCACGAGAAAGTATAATGGAAGAACTTCCCTGGAAGCCAGAAGCCAGCCCGCCCTACCGGAGAGCGGCACGGCGCCGCGAGGGGTAAACCCTAGCAGAATATATATATATTTACCAAATATAAAATATATTTCATCAAAGAAAAGGATACAACAAGCTAGAGGCAAAACAAAAAAGCCTACAAAGTACCAAGGGAAGGGGGAATGAACCCATTAGGCTCAGCACTGGCAGAGGCTACCAGCCAATCCAAAGCCAGGCCCGGGCCATCCAAGTTGGAGAAAAAGAAAAACACCCATCGAGCCCCACCACCAACGGTTGCCATGAGCCAAGGCATAGGATAAGCTAGCCCTAGCCACATCATAGCCCATAATGCATTCATCATAGACACAAAAATAAAACATTGATCTAGAAAAAGATAAGCATAGAGAGAAGAACCAACGAGCCAACCAACCAAAATAGCACACGGCATAGCCCCAGAGATCCAAAAGACGAGCCAAGACAACAAACCGGGCATGAGAAAGTCAGGAAAGAAACCACCACCAAATAAACAAAGTCAAAACCTACCAAACAGCCAGTTATTTCCTTCCACACATATTACACTACAGGAAATTTAGCTATTACCTGCAGTTTTTTCCGACGGCGTGGCTGATAAAACCGGCGGTTTTAAAAACACCAGCGGCTTGTCGGCGGTTTTTAAGCCGTCGACAAAAATGGCGTAGGAAACCATTGTCGGCGGTCTTTTTCCAGCGGTTTTATTTGGCGACGGCTTTCCGGCGGCTCATGCCGCCAGTTATTACCGGTTTTAGTACTGGCGGTGTTTCGTCCCTTGAGCCGCCGGTAATTATACTGACAGCTAACCAGCGGTCCCCTTACCGACGGCATGCCAGCGGTTACAGCGGCCGGCCGCGTGCGGTCGAACAACCACCAGCAAGCATCGGTATACTGCCGGTGAATCACCGGCGGTTATCCGGCGGTCACCGCCAACGGTTACACTGCTCTCTATCTATCTCTCTCTCTATATTACCTCTATCTTGCTCTCTCTCTCTCTCTCTTGCCTTTTCTCTCTCACTCTCTCTATCTCTATCTCTCTCTCCCTCTCTCTCTCTCTCACTCTCCCTCTCTTACTCTCTCTTACACTTGCTGGCTCTTTTTCTCTCTCTATATCTCTCTCTCCCTTTTTCAAGCTCTCTCTCCATCCATCTATCTATCTCTCTTGCTCTCTCTCTCCCCCTCTCTCTCTTTTTTCTCTCTCCCTCTCTCTCTCTCTCTCTCTCTCTCTCTCTCTCTCT